TCAACTGACTGAGCCACCCAGGTGCCCCAAGCATGCAACTTTTGATGTCAGTGTTGTGAGTTCAAGCCCCACACTGGGCATGGAGCCTACTCAATTAAAAAAATAAAAATTGGGGGCGCCTGGGTGGCTCAGTTGGTTAAGCGACTGCCTTCGGCTCAGGTCATGATCCTGGAGCCCCGGGATCGAGTCCCGCATCGGGCTCCCTGCTCATCAGGGAGTCTGCTTCTCCCTCTGACCCTCCTACCTCTCATGCTCTCTGTCTGTCATTCTTTCTCTCTCAAATAAATAAATAAAATCTTTAAAAAAAATTTTTTAAAAATGTTTTTAATTAAAAAAAAGGAAGGAACTAACTCTTAAGCTGGGTGCTAGTTATATGGGTGTCTTATTGTTTTTTATAACCTATGTATTATATTCTTTATAACCTATGTATTATAACCTAATATATATATATTATATATTTTGTATGTGTGAAATTTTGTTTTTTTAAGAGGATGATGGTAATGCTTGCTCTGTCTCCAGTTCAAATGAGACAACCAAATGAGAAACATTAGCTTCACTTTACTAGGTACTTATTATGAGCTAAGCCCTTGATCTATATTTCTCCCATATTCAGCACAGTAACACAGTGAGAGAGCAGATACCGTCCAGGGTGAGCACAACCGGCTGGGGCCCCTGGCAAAGCCCCATGGAGGCATGAGGGGTGCCCATCATAGGCACTAATTCCTTCTGCCTTCCCACAGGTGTTGAAGTCCACAGGAGATGTGGCCGGAGGCCGGGCCCTGTATGAGGGGTATGCAGCGGTCACTGATGCGTCCCCTGAGTGCTTCCTCACCCTCAGGGACACAGTGCTGCTCCGCAAGGAATCTCGGAAGCTCATCGTTCAGCCCAACACTCGCCTTGAAGGTAATGGACACCCGAGCCCTCTTTGATGGACAAAAGACGCCTGGAACCCATCCCTGGGCTCAGGAAAGGCTACCTGGGGTGACTCCTGCCTCTCTCCCTCCCTGCCCCAGGCCTCCCCATGCCAAACCCTAGGCCCCAAACCTTGGCATCTGTTATCACCACCCCACACATGCAGGGCTGTGCTGCTTATAAGACAGCAACCAGGGGCGCCTGGGTGGCTCAGTCATTGAGCATCTGCCTTCGGCTCAGGTCATGATCCCAGGGTCCTGGGATCGAGTCCCGCATTGGGCTCTGCGGGAAGCCTGCTTCTCCCTCTCCCACTCCCCCTGCTTGTGTTCCCTCTTTCGCTGTGTCTCTCTCTGTCAAATAAATAGATAAAAATCTTAAAAAAAAAAAAAAAGACAGCAACCAGAGGTTTGCAGAAGACCCGCAGAGCAGGGGCTAGTGGAACAGACAGACCCCAGGCTTATGGGAGGCCAGGCATGTTCCTGGAGGATCAGGCCTTTCGGTGCCTGGGGACAAGGTGAGGGGCAGGCATGAGTTGGAACCCAGCAGGCTGATGGAACCCAAGGGACGATGTGACTGCAGAGCCCAGGAGAGAGATGAGCAGCCCCGTGGGCCCCCTCCCATCTCAAGTGATGACTCTGTTTCCCAAAGCCTTGGCCCTGCCTGCCCTGCACTTGAACCCATTGTATTAGAGGCCTGTGCTGCATTCACTTTCCTCTCACCTCCTGACCTATCTTTCCTGACGCTTGTCACGTGAGGCACCTGAGCAGGGGCGGTGCCAGGCAGCTGCTCCGTGACCTTGCCTTCATCCATAAAGCCAGTGTGGATTGTGTGCTGACAATTAGCTACTTCCTTCAAGCTCTTACTGCTTTCCATGGCTTCACTCTTTAAATCCTCCCCACAGGGGCGCCTGGCTGGCTCAGGCAGCAGAGCATGCGACCCTTGATCTTGGGGTCATGAGTTCAAGCCCCCCCCCACATTGGGCATAGAGCTCACTTACAAAAATAAAATAGAATAAAATAAATCCTCACCTAAACCCAATGAGGTAGTTACAGTTTACATTTTACAGTTAAGAAAACTGAGGCACAGAGACAGAATCGTTTGAGGCTTACCAGCTCTTTACTGGAGGAGCCTAGAGTCAGGTTAAGGGCGCTCCTCACTCCCACAGTCACGGGCAGTTGTGAAGGTTAAATGAAATAATTACCTCCTACAGGCAAGGAAAACACATTTGAAAGGCTTATTTCCAACTCTTTATGTTGTACTCCAGAGGCCCAGGGGATTTGGCCCTGACCCCTGCCAGGCCTCAGGGACCCCTCCTGGCTCACTGGCCTCCAGGCTCATGGCCTTTCCATTTCTCCAACACCCTGAGCTCGCCCCACTCCCATAGCCTTTGCACTCACTGTCTCCTCTGCTGGGCACAGCCCTCCCCCAATCTTTGGTTGGTCCTTCCTGTCATTTTGGTCTCTGTTAAATGACACCTCCTGGGAGAGGCTGTCCCTGGCCCCTCAACCTAAAGCAATCCCTTCATGCACTGTCACTCTGCTATTTTCCCGTCTGCCTTGCTTCCTCATTAGCAGAAACGGCACATCCCCAGCAAGTAGCTAGCATAGGGCCTGGCACACAGGAGCCGCTCAATGCATGTCAAATGAGTAAATGGACAAATCATGCCAGACACATAGTAAGTGCTCATTACAACATCATTGCTTTGATTGTCCAGCCCTGTGTGGGCCCTTGGGGATGGAGAGGTGAATCAGACCCAGGCCCTTGCCTCAAGTAGTCCGCAGTCCATTAGGAATAAGACCTAGGGAGAAATGATCACACCCAGGGAGCGTTAATAAGCACCCAAGAGGCCCAAATGGTGGTCAGAACACTTAGAGAAGGGAAGATCACATTCACCTTTGAGGGAATCAGGGAAGGTTCTGAGGAGGAAGTGGTTAAACTAAGCCTGAAGAGCAGGTGGGGTTTTCAAAGTGTGGTGGTGGTGATGATGGTGATGATGGTAAAGATGATGAGTAACTTTTGAGGACTTCTATGTGCCAGTCACTGGGTAAAACTTTGCATGGATTAACTCCCAACAACCGCAGGGGGAAGTTATTGCCCCCATTTTTCAGCTGGAAACTGAGACACTGAGGGGCCATGTATTTGCCTGAGGTCAACAGTTAGTGGGCGCCAGAACCAGGATTTGAACGTGTACTGTCTGAACCCAAAGCCTGTGCTCTTAGCTAAATACACCCCACAGTGCCACAGAGCACAACAAGGCTCTGTGAGTGGGCAGAGCAGTGGAAGTATGTTGGAGGGAAATGCTTCCCGTGAGTATTCAAGGGACCCTTGGAACAGCCCATGAGTTAAGTTGGTACCCTTTTGGCTCTGCTGGGTGCTCGAGATAATGATGCTAGTGATAGCTAGCACTTGAGCATTCACTCAAGGCATTACTGTATCTAATCCCTGTAGATACTGTGCTCACCCCCACTTTACAGGTGAGGAAAATGAGGCTTAGGTTGTGAAACTTGCCCAAGGTCCCACAGTAGATAGATATAAAGCAATTGTTGGACTGTAAGCTCCTGGAGGCCAAGGACTGAGTGTTTAACCTAACATGGCACCAGAGTATATACTTATTAAGTGAATGAATGAATGAATGAATGAATGAATGCAACAGTTCATTGAATCCTCCCTTTAATGCTTCCTTCTTCATAGAGTTATGGTAAGGATTAAATTAGATGATAAAACACTGAATACAATTTTTTGCACAAGAGCTCAGGAAGAGCTACCTGCGCCTATGATTATGACTGTGATTCTCTGCTTCCTATTAAAACCTTTTCCTGCTGCTTTTTCTCTGTCTCCCCAGGCTCAGAAGTTCAGCTTCTCGAGTATGAGGCCTCGGCTGCTGGCCTCATCCGATCCTTCTCCGAGCGCTTCCCAGAGGATGGGCCCGAGTTGGAGGAGGTCCTCACCCAGCTGGCCACAGCTGATGCCCGGTTCTGGAAGTCCCCCAGTGAGGCCCCATCTGGCCAGGCTTGAGACAGATTTATGCAGCTCCTCCCCCAACTTCATCAAACCAGGGCTGCAAGTGGCCCCCCCTTTCCTGTGTGTGCTAGGGGAGGAGCAGGAGCTCGGACCTTGGTGCTACCTCAGCCGAGGGTGGTGACACTAACCCCTTCCATTTGTCGGCACTTTCCAGTTTACCGAGTGCTTCTCCTGTGTTATCTCATTTGGTCTGCACTGCCTTTGGTAGAGTGGGCAAGGCCCGGCTCCTTATCCTGCTTCCCAGATAAGGGAATGGAAGTTCTGAGAAGTGACCTATCTAGATGCTACAGGACTCAAAGCCTCTCCCAGTCCAGTGCTCTTCATGTATTACTTTTATAACAGAAAATAAACGTAAGAAATCACCACCATCTTTGCGATTTGTGTGAATCCTTGCCTTTGCCTCACTTCTCAGCAGGGTAATGGGATTAAGGCCTGGGAAAGGGAAGGAAGGTCAGTTTTAGGTTCCCCTCTACAACAGGATTTTGGTATGACCTCTAAACGAGGGGGCACAGCCACAAGGAGGAACGTGGCACAATTTTTACAGTCCTCCTTTGTGGCATTTCCTGTATTTTAAAATATTCCAGGAACCTAAAAACTGGAAACTCTCAATTTCAGTCAATCCTAGGATTTAATCTCTTAACCCTGTGCTTTGTTTCTCTGAACCCAGACCTCTAGAATAAGATGGGAAGAAAGGACATGGCCCCTTTTCAACCGGGTTAACCATGAGGAGGAAGAGGGTGTAGTATTAGTTTTGCTCCTCAGAAACACTAGAAAGGCTGCTCTCCAGGCCAGAGGGTCCTGCCAATAATCCAGAGATCGCAGGGCCCAAGGGTTCCGGCTGGGAAGGAGCAAAGATAAATCCTACGAGCTGGGATGAGGGATTGCGCCTCCGCAGGCAGAAACCCAACTAAGGCCAGCATATCCTGCATCGTGGCCTATTGGCCCTGGGCCGGAAGGCCGAGCGCCCGGAACCTTTGTACGCGCTCTTCCCAGCCCGCTTCCCAGAGCCCGGGCTCTTTTCGGCGTTGCGCAGCAGCTGGCCGGAGCCGGTTGCCAAGGCGACGCCTGCAAAGATGGCTGCTGCGTCTTCGTCGGATTCCGACAGCGGCAGAGCTGAGAGGTGAAGGCCGGGGTCCTCGAGGCCTCCTATCCTACAAATGTAAAGAGGGGGTCTTGGGCCCCGGGATCTGGGCTCCTGCGCTTCTCAGAAAGCGCCGGCAGTCCTTGAAGGGATCTGAGGGTTCAAACAGGGAAACTGAGGCCCAAGGAGTGAATGAATGTGCGCGTGTGAGTGACTCTAGGACACTCAGTGAGCTTATGGTGGAGCCTGGACTTGGCCCCAGACGTCTGTACCCCCATTTCAGAGCCCCCTACACACCTCCCTCTCAGAGACTAGCTCCCGCAAAGTTTTCTTCCCCTCCCTTGGGACTCAGCCGCCAACTCTTCCCTTCTCTACCAGCAATGAGGCCAGTTCGAAATGGCTGGACGCACACTACGACCCCATGGCCAACATCCACACCTTTTCCTCCTGCCTGGGTAAGTCTCTGGGACCAGGAGATGGAGTCAAATGACGGTTCTGTAGCGAAGTCTCAAGGATTGGGAAACTCTGGCTTATGGCCCTTTTGTGTTTTCCAGCGCTGGCAGATTTGCATGGGGATGGGGAGTACAAGGTAAGCATATCACCCCGGCAGAAAGAGAATTGGGGCGCGAGGAAGCATCAGAAGTGAGATTTCCTGATGGCTCCAAAGGAGTTCAGCATCATCTGGAACCCATGTGTACCCTGAAAAAGTACATTCAGTGTTAAATTTTATTTTTATGTGGATGGTGAAGAGAACCTGTCGATTCCGTAATACAGACTGCAGAAAGGAAAGCAGAACAAATGCTCCTGGGGATTCTACTAACACAAAGCCTCTTAATTTTGTTAACTTATAATTCTTTGCTGGAAGGACACATCCCTTGGTGCCGGGCGGGCGGCGGGGGCCGGGGCGGGGGGGGGGGGGGGGGGGGGGGGGGGGGGGAGGGGAGCGGGGATTGGAATCTGGAGAGAAAGTAGAAGAGAGGGAAGTGAAAGTTTTATGTTTATTAAAAGGGCATAGATTTTAAGATTTAAGATTAGCCATGAAGCTAATCTTCGTTGTTGGATGGCAGGTATTTGGAGGTTCATTATATGAATCTCTCTGCTTTTGTATATGACTGAAACTTTCCATAATAAAAAGGTTGAATTTTAAGTTTAAAACATAAAGATAAATAAAATGTAAATTAATTAATTTAAAAATTAAAGGTACAGGTTTTTAAAAGATCAAGAAATATTTTGGGCTTACAGAAAGGGAATTAAACCTATATTTAGTATCCATTTCTGGGCTAGACTCTCTTTGAGCATTTTCACATACATAGATATTATTTATTCCCAATTTGTTAATGGGAAAATAGATTCAGAGAAGATGAGTAAGCTTAGTGAATTTGTAAAAAGTGGCAGACCTGGGCCTGTCACATTCGCAGTCATGTGTTTGTTCCACTGTTGCTCAGCCATGGGCAGTGAACCCACAGTGGGCATGCTATTTGGGCCATTAGAAGATAGCTCTGGAATCGTACCCTTTGTGGTGAGTACAATAAAATTCAGTGGACTTTTGCCTCCAAATTCCTGTCCATAAAGCATTCTGCAATTTGGCAAGCGTACAGCGAACCCTACTGTGTGTCAGGCATTGTACAGACACAAAACTAAGAAATGAATCCGTACACAGTCGGGAGGAGATACAGACACTGGCCTTAGTTTATCCATGATATTGACTGAATACCTAGTGTGTGCTTGGCAGTGAAAGGTATAGAGATCACAGCCTCAATAACTAGCATGAAATATAAGATGCTTTTGTGTAATAACTTTTTTAATGACTAGTTTGTTGATTCCCAGCATCTAGCCCAGTGCCTGGCACAAATTAGGTACTCAGTAAATATTTGTGAAGTAAAAGAGTGGATGCTAAAATCGAATATATGAAAAGTATGGGAGCAGCAGGGAGAGAATGGTGAGATCTATCTGGACATACCAGGAGGCAGTAATACGTGAACTGGGTATTGAAGGATGAATGAAATGTATCAAGAAGGTACGGAGGGAAGGAGGGGGAAGGCATTCCAGTCAGAGGGAACAGCACAAATGGAGGCACAGAGGCTTAGAAGTTTGTAGCATATTTGGAAAGAGTAATTTGGAGTCAGAAAGTGAAAACCAATATAAAATAGTAGTTAAGACCACTGGCTTGGATTCAGACAAACCTAGATTCCAGTCCCAGCTCCCCAACTTACTTGAATGACTTTTACCTAACATCTCTGAGCCACAGCTTAAACCATCTGTGAAATGGGGCTAATAATAGTACCTGTCTCATAAATTGTTGAAAGGATGCCTGTAGTTCCTGGTGTGGCTCCTGGTACACTGTGCATTCTCAGAATCCAGACATTCTGTGGCAGCCCCCATTCTGGCTGGAGCATATCATGGATGGGAAGGTGATGGAAAAAAAGCTGGAGACCAGATCAGAGAGGCCTTGAAAGCCTCACTTGAGAGAATGGGCTTGCATGGCAGCCACAGTGGCTTGGAGGATGGATTAGAGGGCGGAAAAGAGAGACCGAGGAGCTTGATTCTCCTCTCTGTCCACAGATCACATCCCAATCTGCATGCATGTGTGTGCTTCTTTAGCTCTGTTCCCATTTGGAAGCCAGGCCTCAGAGGCCCAGATAGGAGTTTCCGGCACCCCACTGACTTCAGCCACTCTCCACTGTACAGAATAGTGCCTGGCATGGAGCAGACTCTGAAGAAATGTTTACTGAATGAATACTGAAAACATCATCTGCCATGTACTCCTCACTAGCACTCACCAGATTCCATAATTCGTTACCTCATTTGATTTTCACTACAAGTGTCATGAGGTAGATATTCCCATTTTGTGGGTGGAAGACTGAGGGTCAGCAAGTTTAATCAACTTTCCCAAGGTCACACATCTTGCAAGCCTTATTACAAAGTCTCCTTGCCCCCCACTTGGTGCACCAGTGTGGCAGTGAATGAATGTGCACTAGTGAAAAGGAGTCAGTGGAGGGGTCTTTAGACCTTGAGCCTGGAATAAGCCAGCCTCTTTCCACAGCTGGTGGTGGGGGACCTTGGCCCCGGTGGGCAGCATCCCCGCCTGAAGGTGCTCAAAGGACCCACAGTGCTGACTGAAAGTCCCTTACCTGCACTGCCAGCTGCCGCCGCCACCTTCCTCATGGAGCAGCACGAGCCCCGGACACCAGCTCTCGCACTCGCTTCAGGCCCTTGTGTGTACGTGTATAAGAATCTTAGGCCCTACTTCAAGTTCAGCCTGCCCCAGTTGCCTCCAAACCCCCTGGAACAAGATCTCTGGAACCAGGCCAAGGAGGTAAGTGATGTCGGGGATGGGAATAAGAAGGCAAAAATGGCGGCCACTGAGTCATCCTCATTCCCTGCCTGACTGTGGAGCTCACAGGCTTACCTTTTTTCCTTGCTGTCATAGGACCGGATTGACCCCTTGACCCTGAAGGAGATGCTGGAAGGCATCCGGTGAGAACCCACTTATCCCTTCATATGGCTTCCCACCCCTCCTTCAATCCTCCAGCCCCTCTCCTTCATCCCAGTGCTCTCCGTCTGACCCCCAGGGTCCTGTTCCTCAACTAAATCTGCTGTGATTGCCCCTCTCCTTTCAGGGAGAAGGCAGAGGTGCCTTTGTCTGTACAGTCACTCAGGTAAGGGCCCTGTGGAGGGCCAGGGCTCCTGAAGCTCCAGGGGGAAGGGAGTGGCTAAGGAGTGGCCTGTGGAGGGAAGTAGCCCAGGCCATGCAGATGCCACTTGTCTGTGTGTGCAGGTTTTTACAGCTGGAGCTGAGTGAAATGGAGGCATTTGTGAGCCAGCACAAGTCCAGGTCCATCAAGCGGCAGGTAACGTCCCTTCTCTCTTTATTTCCCTGTTAAAAATATGGACAATTTTTGAAATAGACAATGTAACATCAGTGGTAGATTCTACAACCAAACCCGACTAGTTTCACTTTGCAGTTTCCTTTCCAGCCTGTGCCACACATATATGGTCACAAAGCTGCAGAGCCTTCTACATTTCCAGTTGACAGTGCAGCTTTGAATTGATATATATACAATTTTATATAACTTTTATTGTCTTAAGAGTAGAGGTAACATATTTTCATTAGAGAATAAAGAGAAGTATAAAGGAGAAGTATAAATGACTATAATCTTACCACCCAGAGGTACTCGTTCATACCATTTTGGTACATTTTCTTGATAAATATGCTTTATAATTTGCTTCCCTTGAGTACAAAACATTATATCTTGAGCATTTAAATAGTCTTTAAGAACTCCATTCTTTCCCTCAGGTTTCCTCCCTGTCATTAATCTGAATGTTCTTTTTCGCTGGGCTCCCCACCACGTGACCATAAGGCATTAAAATGTGGAGGTACTTCCATCAGGAATTCATAACGATTCTCAGTTTATTGTTAGAGTTGTTGTGGAATGAGGAGAGAAAGACTGGGCTTGGGAATAAAAGTGCCTGTAAAGTGAAAAAAAAAAAAACCCTCCATTCTTAATGGCCCCCTAATTATTTCACTGATTATTAATTATTTCATTCATAGTTTATGTAACTATTCATGTATACTGGATAAGAAATGTATCCCTTTTATATTCACTTCATATTTTTCTTAGTTATAATTTTAATGGTTTTATTGATGAACCTATTCATTAAACTCTGGTGGTTACTGACCTGGGGGCTGACCCTCAGTCTAGTCCCAGGGCTGCTCTTTGTATTTTAGGAAGCCTTATGGGAACCCTCCACTTCCTGTAGAAGCCACTTGAACCAAATGCATGGGCCAATGCACGCCTCAGTTTTTGGCTGCCTTCGACCAGTGCTATTCTCTTCTGCTGATCAGCAGCTCAGATCCACAGTTATCAACATCTTTGAGTACTTACAAAATCATGAAGTGAATTAATTATTGCTTAAAAGATGCAGTTTGGGGAGGGAGGAAATCTTTCCAAGATACATATGTCATGATTATATAATTGGACACCATTACTATCCATGTTTCTGTAACCTCTTTCCTCTAAGTGTTGAGAATGATTCCTCTTTTTTAATCTTAAAGATAATCACACAATGACCAGTTTTATCCAAAGAAATATTTTGGTCCTGCTAAATTATTTTCGTAGGAGAAATTCCTAAAAAAGGGATCATCCTCTTCTCTTCTGTTTTTTCTCCAGTCACAGTCACAAAAGGAACATGTGCCTGCTGTAGAAATTCTAGAAAAGCACAATGAAGAAATTAAACATCACCTGTGATTTCATTGTCCAGAGATAACCAGTTTTTGTATTTATGAGTATTTATTTATGCCTTCCAGCATGTTTTTTTATTCAGATATATTTTTAAACTAGGATTATACTAACATTTTACCTATTTTTTTCTTAATACATTAGAAGTGTTCTGCAAAACATTAGAAGCTTTATTTTTTAAGATTATTTATTTATTTATTTGACAGAGACACAGCGAGAGAGGGAACACAAGCAGGGGAGTGGGAGAGGGAGAAGCAGGCTTCCTGCTGAGCAGGGAGCCCGACGCGGGGCTCGATCCCAGGACCCTGGGATCACGACCCGAGCCGAAGGCAGACGCTTAACGACTGAGCCACCCAGGCGCCCCAGTTAAAGCTTCTTTTAAAATGTGATTTTTACATGGCTTTTGATCAAATGGAAATTTGTAATTGACTTAAACAAGCCTCTTTTTTAGAAAGTTAGGTTTGTTGCAATGAACACTTTTGTACATAAAACTTCTGTCACATCTCTGGTACTCTTCCTCCTCCTTTGCCCTCTTTCTTCCCTCCTTTGGTCTCCTGGGGATGCCTGTGGGGACGGTGTGCGGGGATCTCCTGGGTGACTCTTGAAGTCCTTCTGCAGACAGTCATCACAACCATGACCACCTTAAAGAAGAACCTGGCTGACGAGGATGCTGTGTCCTGCCTGGTGCTGGGCACTGAGAACAAGGAGCTCCTGGTGCTGGACCCAGAGGCCTTCACCATTTTGGCCAAGGTCAGTGTGGGGCCTGGCCCTCGGCACAGCTGAGGCCCAGGCTGCATTCCCTCCATCTGTTCCCCCACATCTCCTGCCTGTAGTTCTTGGTAATACATGTTGTAGAAAACTTAAAAATGTAGATAAGCATAAAGAAAAAAATATATGTCCAAGAAAATACCACCACCCACAATATCTACTATTAAAGTTCTGGTGTGTCTTTCCAGAATTTTCATATTGAGACACAGATATATAACTTATAAATACACTTTTTTTCTACAAAAATGACTTAGTGGTAGAGGATCATGTAACCTGCTCCTTTTACATACTAGTAGCCCATCACTGTGGGCTTTTGCTACATGTTGCTGAGTTTCCCTCCAGAAAAATTGAACAAATTTAAACTACGACCCACAGTGAGGGAGGAGATTGGGAATTTGGACAAGGAACCAATTCAGAGGAGTTACTTCAAGGTAAGGAAGGACAGGGTGCCAGAAAACCTGGGATATTTGAGCCTCTCCTTTGCAGATGAGCCTACCCAGTGTGCCCGTCTTCCTGGAGGTGTCTGGCCAGTTCGATGTAGAATTCCGGCTTGCCGCTGCCTGCCGCAATGGGAACGTCTATATCCTGAGAAGGTAGCCGCATTGTGGCCTCTGGGGCCAGGAGGAACATCTCAGAACCCGGGTGATGTTAGGGGCTTTGGAGCTGGTATTTGGGAGTGGAAAGAGCTGGGAACTTCATAGAGAAGGCTGAGCTCACGTGCCTAGGGGGCCATCTGGAGGCTTGCGTGATGGGACTGGCAAAGTGAGAGACTGGGCAGAGTGGCTATTACACGTGAGCAGTGCAGTCAGAGATGGGAAGAAGTAAAAATAGCCTCTTGTTGCTGTATGGCTTTATAGGTATGTAACACTTCTTTACGCATTAGGTTGATACTCCTTACAACATTCATCTTCTAATTCAAGAAATATCTTTGAGCACCCACTATGTATTAAGCATTATGTAAGGTATCAGGAATGTATTGATGTATTGTTAAACGACATAAACATAGTCCCTGTGTGCTTTGGAAAAAATACAAGCTCCATGGGAAGAAATAACGGGGCCAGGATGATCAGTGAACACCTGTCTGTGGAGATGATGTGGAAGGTTAAGAAGGAGCCAGTTGTTCTAAAAGTGGGGAAGAAGGGGCACCTGGGTGGCTCAGTTGTTAAGTGTCTGCCTTCGGCTCAGGTCATGACCCCAGGGTCCTGGGATTGAGCCCTGCATTGGGCTCCTTGCTCTGCAGGGGACCTGCTTCTCCCTCTCCCACTCCCCCTGCTTGTGTTCCTGCTCTCGCTGTGTCTCTCTCTGTCAAATAAATAAATAATAAAAAATAAAAGTGAGGAAGAAGTGTTGTAGGCAGAGAAAACTTGAGCAAATTCAAGATGGGAAAGATACTGGTGTGTGCTCCTCAAGCTTGATGGGCAAGGAGGAGGGCGGAAAGAGGTGTGTGGAGACGAGATCTGGCTCATGCATGGCCTGATAGGACATGGTAAGGATTTAGAATTTGAAAACTATTATGGGGTTTTAATCAGAAGAATGATGTGAGCCTTTTATATTTTTAAGAGATTGCTCTGCTGGGTGGAGAGTACATTGGAAGGAGGCCCAGACACCAGAGGGAGGCTCTCAGATGGGTCATCAGATGGGATATGATCATCAGACTTGGTTATGAAGAAAGGGGAGCCATAGCCTGTGATTGTTAGGCTGGAATTACCCCTTCTTTCTGGATGAGAGAAACTAAGATTCGGAAGCCAGGAAACTGAAAACAGTGCATTTACACAGAGCAGACTTCTTGTGCATTTCTGATGAGTTGCTAAACTGCCTAAGTCTGCTAGCACCTCATCTAGCCTAAGGTACACTCACTGTAAACTGTTCAATGCCAGGTTCTCACACAAATCCTGCAGTAAAGGCAGCAGGGAGACCGGGAAAGAAAGCACACTTTATGTTATCCAAGGTCACATAGGGGCTAAGTGGTAAAGGTGGAAATAATACTATGGTCATCTACTTTTGGTCCAAGGTTCCTTCTGGGATAGTTTGTGGGGATTAGAAAGAGGAGGGTCAGCCAGGGAAGGAGAGAAGGTTTCTCTGGGGCTTGGAGAGTATGTCTTTATTCCACAGAGACTCCAAGCACCCCAAGTACTGCATCGAGCTGAGCGCCCAGCCTGTGGGGCTTGTCCGGGTACACAAGGTCCTGGTGGTGGGCAGCACCCAAGAGAGCCTGCATGGCTTCACCCACAAGGTGCGGCTTCCGGGCAAGCATCATCCCCCACCCCCTCCACGTATGTCTCCCTGGTTCCCCTTTAGCACGGGATTCCTTCTGGTGTCCCTTTCCCTGAAAACTCCAGCCACCCTTTCCACGCTGTGCCCTGAACCCTCCCAAGGTAAAAAGCTCTTCCCTCCCAGGGTAGGAAGCTGTGGACGGTGCAGATGCCAGCATCCATCCTGACCATGAACCTCCTGGAGCAGCGCTCACGGGGCCTGCAGGCCGTTATGGCTGGGCTGGCCAATGGAGAAGTCCGCATTTACCATGATAAGGCCCTGCTCAATGTCATCCGCACCCCGGTGAGCTGCTCACTCCTCTTTGCCCCCCATTCCCGCCTCTGGGGCTTCTTAGCTGCCTCTTCTGATCCCACTCCACCTGATAACCTTGACTTCTGATGTATTTTTTTTAAGATTTTATTTATTTATTTGAGAGAGAGCACGAGCATGAACAGAGGTGGGGGGCAGAGGGGGTGCAGGCAGAGGGAGAGGGAGAAGCAGACTCTCTGCTAAGCAAGGGAGCCTGATGTGGGGCTCGATCCCAGGACCTCGAGATGACCTCACCTGAAGGCCGATGCTTAACCAACTGAGCCACCCAGGTGTCCCTTGATGTATTTCAGAAACATTTGTTGAGCATCTCATAAGCACGAGTCACTGTTGTGTGAGGGATAAAAACAATGTCTAAATCCTGCCTTCAGGGAATTTATAATCTAAGGTGACAGCCAGACAGAGACACAGCTAATTCAGATACAACCAAGACTTAAAGCAGAGCAGAATACTGACAAAGCACAGAGAGGGCCTGGTGACTGGGGAGGTGGTGAAGGGTAGATGGGCGTGGAACTCATGAGTCATTTCCGAGAGCAAGTGACAATTCTCCTGGGCCTCAAAACAGTTTGCCAAGTGGGTACATGGAGGAAGAACATTCCACACTGGAAACAGCATGAACAAAGGCTGAGGGGCCTGAGTATTCTTGATTAAGGAATCCGGGTGGCTCGATGAGTTTGGACTAGTTTTTCAAACACTAAGTTGTGAGTCATTAAATTAATTTAATGGGTCACAACCAGCAAAAGAAAAAAGAAAGCTCAGAGTATATCACATGTGAACTTGTGTGTATGTATGTATAAAGTGTCCTATGTCACAGTATCAAGTTTGAAAGCCGCTGGTTTAGACCGCAGGGTTTTGGGAGACAGGTGAGGTGGGGTTTGGGGAAATGGTAGAGCAGAACAGAAAAGGCAGGTTGGAGTCAGATGTGGAAAGCCTTGAACTGTTCTAATAAGGAGGACAAAAGCCATTGGAAGTTTTTTGGCAGAAAATAGACATGATCATGTTTGTATTTTTGAAAGGCAGAAATGCGAAAGACAGACTGGGAAGAAACTCTAGGCTGAGGGCCTATTAGAAAGCTGACCCCAGAAGCCCGGTGACATTTATTCTGGAACTGTGGCCGTAGCAGTGAGGTTGGAAGGCAGATGAGAAATACAGGGAATATTTCGGAGGCAGCATTGCCTCAGGCCTTACCTCACATCTCTTCATCATATCATATCTGGGGTCTCTCAACCTTATCACCCCATTCCAGTCTTGCTCTCCTCTCCAAGATATTCCCCCCCCCCTAAACTCTGGTGTCTCCATCCTAGGATGCAGTGACCAGCCTTTGCTTTGGCCGCTACGGGCGGGAGGATAACACCCTCATCATCACTACTCGGGGTGAGCAGACTCAGACCTGGCAGGGGTTTTTGAGTTAGGCACCAAGGTGATGGGCCAGATCCTGGGAAGCAAGAGGTGGCTGTGAAGCATAGGCAGGCCTGGGTTTGGAAAGCAAGGCCTGCAGACACATGGCCTGTCTGGGGCTGGCTCATCATCGGTGTGATTGCGCTACGCACGGGCCAGTGTCTCTAGTTCCCCCCAGTCTCAGAGCCTGCCACAATGCCAGGAACATCACAGTCAATAAGTAACTGCTGAATGAATGGTAGGACATTGTTAAAACACACTTTATTCCTTCTAGAAACCCAGAATCTCGGCAAGAAGACAGACATGGACAGAGATGGCTCTATCTGAGGCAGATGGTTTGGGGAGGGAGGACAGACTGGGAATATTGGGTAGAACTAGGAAGGACCAGATCTATTTCTGTCTGCCCACTTTCCTAGGCGGTGGCCTGATCATCAAGATCCTGAAGCGTACAGCAGTGTTTGTGGAAGCAGGAGGTGTGGTGGGCCCCCCACCAGCCCAGGCGATGAAACTCAGTGTGCCCCGAAAGACCCGGCTTTATGTGGATCAGACACTGCGAGAGCGGGAGGCTGGCACCGGTGAGACTCAGACCGGGTCCTTCTTCCTTCTCTGTGGCTCTGAAGCAGCAAGAAACAGGTGAACCCTCCCTGGTTTGTACCCTAAGCACTGGGAGACCTGGGCAGCCAGGCAGGTCTCCTGCCTCTGGAAGTCCAGAGACAGCCTAGGAGGTGTACTCTGCCTACAATACCTGCCTCAAGGTAGAAGATGCTATGGGTGAAGGCGAGCACCCTATGAATGCAGAGGATAGAACAGTTGCTTCTCGATGCAGAAATTCTCATGAGAGAAATAGAATTGGACCAGGGCTCTGCCTTTTCCTACTCGGTTTTTGCCGCTCTTGCACTCATTCTTCCATTCATTCAATACCTGGGATTATGCCAGGCGTTCCACCAGGTGCCTTGAAATGGGCTAGGCCCGACTTGAGGAGCTCAGTCTCCCTCGCTAATTTCACGTTGCATGATGGGTGTAGGAGAGGTCTCTGCAAAGAGGTCTCTGGTGAGGCTCACAGGAGTGAGGAAGTTGGCCTGGGAGCCTGGGAGAGGCTTCGGAGAGAGGTGACATTGGACTTCGCCCTGAAATGATTACAAGTCCACCAGCCAAAAAGGGGTGGGGAAAGGAGATCCAGGCCGAGGTGTGAGTAGAGGCACAGGACCCTACCTGGATTCAAGCAACGTCTGCCATGTAGTGACAGGTGCCGTGCAGGAAGGCTGGATGGCCAAAGCACAGACTGACAAGGCAGGTCAGAGCTGGCTCTGGAAGGGCCTGGAATGCAAAGCTAGGATATTGGTTGATTCTAGGTGGTGGGGGCTGGGAAAGATGTCGAACAGAAAAATACAGTACTCAACCAGCTCTGTCTCATAAAGGGACCTTGCGTATACTTTTAAGGGATAACTCTGAGGATAAAAGAGCTAGCAGGCTCTTGTAGCCTAGAGAATCCAAGAGAAGCAATTGAAACATTTGAGAAATAATTAGGAACTTCTCTGAGGTGACCGAATGTGAAATATACCAAAAAATCAATAACTTGGTATATACCAACTGCAACCAGTCAGAAAATATAATGCAAAGTTTCCATTCACAATAGCAACAAAACCCGTAGAAATAAATTTAACAAAAAAAAAATGGCAGTCTAAGAAAGAAAGTTACAGAACTCTCTAGGACATAAAAGACCACCTGAATATTTTAATGATGAGACTTCCCAAGTCTCAGGGTAGGAAGACCTAATGCCTTAAAGCTGTTGATTAATTAATTAATAGCTTCTAAAATTAATCTAGGAACATAGTGATGTTACAGGGAAAATCCCAGTAGGGTTTATTTTGAGGACTTGACCAGTTGATTCTAAGTAAATCTGAGAAGTTTGGGGGAGATTTAAGAATGAGGGCTGGTCAGCAGAATGACCTATGAAGCTGTAGGAATTGGCAGGTGTGGTAGGACTGCAGGAACCGCCGCCGATCCAGGGCACGTCTAGAAAGTCCAAAAACAGACCCTCCTCCATGTGGAAGGTCCGTATGTGTTAAAGGTGTCATTTTAGATTAGCAGGGAGAGGAGAAACTGTCCAAAAAGCATGATTAGGGCAACTTACTTCTAGAAAAACAGAATTCTACTTCAAACCAAACACAAACATTCATTCTGGGTAAATTCAAAATAAGTTGTAAAAGTACCAGAGGAAAAAGGAAAGATTAATGGGTGGGGTACCATAAAGACATAAAACTTCTGAGTGGCAGAAGGCCCCTCACACAGGGAAAGGAGCGGGAACAGGCTGGGAAACGAGCGTGCGAAGTCTGGAAGTGTCCCGGCGGGAATGGAGGGGGCGCAGGCTCTGGAGAACGGCTTTGAGGAAGAGGCCTCAGGCCTTGGCAAATGACTAGCTGTGAGGGCAGAACCTGGCTAACCTGGTGGCTGGGGACGTGGGGACGGAGGTAAGGCGATGAGGTGGGTTTCCGCAGTGCTGAGTGTGAGGTGTTGGTGGGATGTCCGGATGGAGGTGACCATTAGGCAGTTAGAAGCAGGAGGCGGGCCCAGGCACCAAGCTGCCGGAGATGCAGCGCATCTGTGTTGCGATGTGGACGTGGGTCGGGCCCGAGTGGGGCACCGCAGACTCAGCAGTGACGAGTCCCCGCCTTCGGGAGCTCGAGGTGGTTCCTCATTGGGGTGCTCACGCGGCGGCAGGGCAGAGGCGGAGGATGGAGGACAAGACTCAAGGGGGTGCCAGCCCTTAAGGCAGAGTCGCAGGAGCCGTCCGGGAGACTGGGCTCGTGCGTGCGGGTAGCGCGGCGGTAGGAAATCAGGAAGGAGGGAGCAGCCTGTGGCCCACAGCAGCCCGTGTCACTGGAGAGCCGGCCTGTTGCACCTCATTCCTCCCTTTTCCCACATTCCCCGTCCCCGCAAACCCGGCCTGCCTCTTGCGTGTGTGAGCAGCTGCCCACGCAGGAGACCCCCCTCCCCCACCTCTGCCCCTCCTACCCTCCTGACCCCCCGCACCAGCCCTTTGTGTCCCTCTCCTCAGCCATGCACCGGACCTTCCAGACCGACCTCCACCTGCTGCGCCTCCGGGCTGCCCGTGCCTATGTGCGGGCCCTCGAGTCCAGCCTGAACCCTGTGTCTGTGACGGCCCGGGAGCCCCTCAAGCTGCACGCTGTGGTGAGTGAACACCCAGGTGTGGGGGGAATCAGGCCACCTCAGGGCCAGAGGGGCAGAGGTCAAGGGTGAGTAGGAACCCCTCAGTCCCAGAGCCACTTCTGAGCCCACTAGGCCCTGTGCCTGCTTCTCACCTCCCCTAGGCCCAGAAACCAAGCCGCAGAGTGGGCCATACTCTCCAGCTCCTTTGGCCTGTGCCGTGCCTCAGACAAGCCCCCAGATCTGGGGCAAGGCACGCAAGGAGTCGCCTTGGGACGTGTCTTCCCAGGACTGGAGGGGCTCTCACAGCTATGGTATGAGGAAGAAAGCCGTTCATTCCAGTAACCGCGGGCAGCCTGAGGTGCTAGGCCCGCCTGGTACAGGGAAGGGAAGTCCTGGGACTGGCCCAGGCACAGGAGGAGGAGCCCCTGCGCTCAGACACAAGTGACCACGAGGTCGTCTGGGCTCTGGCCAGTGCTCAGTGGGTCCCCGAGGTATGCTGTCTGACCCGCTGGGTTTCCGATTTCTCTTTGCCTGAAGGAAGTGGATAGAGAGAGGAAGAGGCTGCAGAGCAACTGAGGCTAAGAGAGAGGAAAATGAAGTCACTGTGGCCACCACAGGACAAGAGTGGGCAGTGGAGAGAGCCTGGGAAGACAGGGGGAGGGACAGTGGTGAGGCCACAGGTGGGAGTTGGGGCATGCATCCCCAGGCCAGCTCTGCCTCTGACCAACTTGCTGAGTGGCCTGCATCAAGCCCCTTCCCCTCTCTGGGCCTTTGCTGATCCCCGTACAAGCAGGAGCCAGCCTTCTGGGCTTCCAAGGGGCCCCTTGATGAGGGGCAGGACAAAGCATTAGAGCAGGTGGGGAAGAAGGTGACACAAGGACATTGATGAGAAAGCCGGAGGGCAGGACCAGGGCACATCAGATTCAGTGCCCAGGGCTGCTGGTCCTAAGGGCTTTCTCCACCCACCCCACCTTCTCCACAGGTTCAGGGCCTGGGCCCCACCTTTAAGCTCACACTTCACCTGCAGAACACCTCAGCAGCCCGACCCATCCTGGGGCTCCTGGTCTGCTTCCTGTACAACGAGGTGCTCTATGCCCTGCCCCGGGCCTTCTTCAAGGTACTGGGCCCACCTCACTGAGACATGGCGTGAGAAAGACCAGGCCGGGGCCTGAGGAGGTGCCCACAGAGCCAGAACAGATCAGTAGTGAGGGAACTGGCAGGTGGCTACAGCCCCAGACCAGGCTGGCGCATGGCAGAGATCTCTGGGGAGAATGCCCAAGCCTTGCCTCGCTGCCTGAGAAAGGTCTTGGGGAGCCACACAGAAGGTTCTAGGAGAACAGCCAGAGTCAGGCTCCCACCTCTGCCTCTGTCAGGGATCCCAGAGCCCATCCTGCCTCACAGCCATACCTGCAGTAGGAATGGGAGCTTCTTTCTGCCCCAAGGAGAATTTTCCACAGTGAAGGGCCTGCTTTCCCACCAGGGTCCAGATTTGACCCTAAGTTGGGAGGACCAGAAGCTGAGAAAGACTTGGTTGGGAGTCAAGACGTCTGGGTTTAATCCTGGACATACATTTGGTCCTGGAGCGTCCACTCCTCTCACTGAACCGCATGCCCCGTGAATGGGCCTGTCAGCCCTGCCCGCCTGCCCCCTGGATTATTCAGTTTCTGTAGCAGGCATGAGAGTGCCCTGGAATCTGCTAAACACTGTCCAGGCATGAGGGCTGATTTCCTTACCTCTTTGTCCCCAAACTCAGGTCCCCTTGCTGGTGCCAGGACTCATCTACCCCCTGGAGACCTTTGTGGAGAGTCTCAGTGACAAGGGCATCTCAGACATTATCAAGGTAGGTGGCCCATTGGTACTACATGGGGAGGACAGTGAGAGTGAGGTGGACGAGGTCCCCGGGTGGCTGCTGGCTCAGAGTGGGTATCTGCAGCCCTGTCCCCTTTGACAGAGCCCTGGTTGCCTGTGACTGGGCCCAGTGCAGACCAGGCCAGGCTTGTGTTTGCAGGGAGCAGGGAGGACAAGGGGCCTGCCCTTACTGCCGTGGGTACCTCCTCCATAGGTGCTGGTGCTTCGTGAAGGCCAGAGCGCTCCCCTGCTGAGTGCCCATATCAACATGCCCGTGAGCGAGGGGCTGGCAGCTGCCTGACCCCCGGACTGGTGTTGAAGCCCCTGCGGAATCAGGACCAGGAAGATCCAGCCCTTTGCAGTGAGCTGGGCGGAGCCAGTGGCCCCAGGCCCATTCCCCGAGCAGCAGTGTGTTGGGGCTACAGTTTCCTTCTCCTCTCCTCTAAGTGTCTCCTTTCTCACCACCCTGACTGCTGGGTGACCTATAGAAGCAGGTTAGTGAGGTTCAGCTCCTTCCCCCTCAGGAAATCACAGGGGACTTCTCTGCATCCTCCCCACTTTTCTCCAGAAATCACCCCAGGTTCGAAGGAAGATCTCTGAAGTGGTTAATGTGTGATGAGGGGCATAGGCCCAGCCTTCTCCTTTGCTGCTTTCCTTAGTCACATTACTCGTGTGTGGCTGCAGGATTGGCTCTGGCCTGACCTGGGGTAATCAGAGGCTTTTCTTGGGCAAGACTGAACCCCCTGTTGCTGCCTGGGGTTCCAGAGGCTTGGCTGATGCTAGCTCAGCTTACAGGCAAAACACATGCCCTGATCTCTCCTTGTGAGCGAAACAAGGGACCCCCCTCTTGCTATTCAGGGGGCCCAGGGAATAGCTGCCTCCCCACAGGGGGCTTTCCTGAAATTTGGGCTCAGCCGAGGTCTCAGGCCTGTGATGCTCCATGAAGGTTGCCAAGAGAGGAACTGGTGCAGGAAGGCACAGAGTGCCCATGCAGGGAGCCAGTGACCCCGCCCCCACCAGACTTCTGAAGACCGCACAGCTTCTGCCCCTGACCTGGATTGTATGCCCAGAAAGGGCATCCCAGGAGAGGAAGGCTCAGTTAGAGCAGAGGTGGGGCTAGGGTGCACAGGAGAGGTGTTTCTGGAAGCCTGGGGAAGTGGCACAGGAAGCAGAAGCCCGGAACAGCTCTTCTATGCCCCGGAGCCCAGATCAGTCACGTAAGTGGGACATTCACTGGGCAGGGCCATAGTGTGAGAGAATGAGCTGGAAAGGCATGGACCAGAGGCGTTGAGTGAGGCTTAACCCTGAGGGAAGGCACATATTTAGACCACAAGGACCAGAGACCCACAGTCCTGGCCTTCAGTGCCTCCTGGAGCCCTGCCCGGTCTGCCTGGCCCACTCTCAGCCTCTGTTAGGCTCGTGCTACCAGGGCCACTCTGAGCCACTTGTGAGCCAGGAACCCTGCACAGGAAGCAGAAGCCCGGAACAGCTCCTTGAGGACCTGTATCTTCCTCTGACCAGGTGCAGCCTAGCATGTGGTAGGTATCTCAGGCTTGTAGGAAGTAACCAAATCCTTCTGGGTTAGTTTCCCCACATGTAAAATGAGGCAGTTTGGCCAGATTCAGCTCTAGCATCCCATGAGCTGGGCAGCCCCTCTAGAGGAAATGAGGAGACGACTCCAGAAAGGGGATATTTGACAGGAGGAACTGCAGAGCTTTTGCCCTTGATACCAAGGGCCCCAACCTAACTGCCGTAGCCAGGCAATAGCCTCTGTGTCCAGGACACCAGTGAGAGATTGGAGTGACACAGCTCACAGCCCACTCCCTAACTCCTCCAAGGAATGCATTCTGGGGCCAGGTTAAGAGAAGCATTGGGCGAGGGGGTGGCTCAGTTGGTTGAGCGTCCTACTCGATCTCAGCTCAGGTCTTGATCTCGGGATGGTGAGATCAAGCCCCGCATTGGGCTCCGAGCTGGGTGTGGAACCTACTTAAAAAGAGAGAGAGAGAGAAGCATGGGGTCTGGACCAAAGAAAGAGCCCATCCCCCTCCTCTGTGCACAGTCTGGCCACTCGAAGACATAGATCAATTGGATCAGAATGGTGAAGGGTCTCTAGATCAAGCCAAGTGAGGCACAGTTGGAACAAGCAGGAGGTTTAACCTGGAAATGGAAAGAATAATAAAGGGAGTGTCACTGTCAGTCAGAGAGATTTCAACTTAACCTGAAGAACTTCCTGAGAGAGCTTATCAGAGATGGAAAGGCCTGCCCTGCAAGGTAATGAGCCCCTTGTCACTGGGGCTGGGCTATCTCTTCACAGTGTTGTGTGCTGGGCCACATGACCATAGAATCTCTTCTACCCCAATCAAGTGATGACTGTGTGAACTTGGAACAAAAAGTATGATCTGGATTCTGTTCGTAGCTATTCATGATGATGAAAGTGGAGAGACTTCCAGCGCCTAATGAGAATTTGTATGATGTAATACTACATACCGATGTGAACTGCGTCGATGTGGACAAGTATACATAAAGCAATATGAAATCAGGGACAGTGCATGGTACCCAGTGCCCTCACTAGTTGGAGCTCCAAGAGATTGTGGACATTAGGGATGAGGGGAGTTGGTATCTTTTACATGTACCTACTTAGTACTATGGAGTTAGTTTATAACAAGAAAACAGCCTCTCCCCATTCCCCACTACTGCTCTCTTGCTACAATCATTTTCAGTTCTCTTAGCTGTTATTTTTTTCAGCAATTTCTGAGTCCAATCTGGGGCTTAAATTCACGACCCCAAGATCAAGAGTCACATGCTCCACTGACCGAGCCAGACAGGTTCCCCATTAGCTATTTATTTTAAAAAAATATGCTTCAGGACGCCTGGGTGGTACAGTTCATTAAGCATCCAACTCTTGATTTTTGGCTCAGGCCATGATCTCAGGGTCAGGAGATCGAGCCCTGTGTCAGGCTCCACGCTAAGTGAGGAGTCTGCTTAGGATTCTTTCTCTCCTGGGCGGCCTGGGTGGCTCAGTCAGTTAAGCGTCTGCCTTCAGCTTGAGTCATGATTCCAGGGTCCTGGGATTGAGCCCCACATCGGGCTCCCTGCTCAGCGGGGAGTCTGCTTCTCCCTCTCCCTCTGCTCCTCCCCCCGCTTGTGCTCTCTTTTGCTCACTCAAATAAATAAAATCTTGAAAAAAAAAAGATTCTCTCTCTCCCTCTACTCCTACTCTGCCCCCTGCTCCTGTTCTCTAGCTAAGGAAAAAAATA